TATAAATTGGGAAAGTGTTATGAATAAACTTTTTAAAAAGGCATATTCTTCTATAACAAGAATGGCATATAAACCAATCAATAAAAGTATTTGACAGACATTAAGTTACCACAGGCACTGGTTGTTGTTTCAAGTTGGGATCTCTATCCCAGTATCTTACATTCATAGCATTATTGAGGTAGTTAAAATACTGAAAATTGGACTCCAGGTTGCTGGGTTCTGAATGTGAATGTGAAAGATATATGCTCTTTTGAGCCCACTTTCCCCCAAACAATTCAAGTTTTCTTGACGTTAGAACTACCAAAATCCAATTAGAAGCCTTCTTTAAAAAGTGATGATACTTTCAGAAAACGATTTTCATGCTTAAAAACTGCTATGAGTGAGTGTTCTTACCTGAGTGGCTTTTCATTTTATCTGCTAGACTAATAAATCCATGTCATGCCCTATGTACTCTAAATATAAGATATTTTCTTTTTAAGCAAAGGACATATCTCCAAGCATTCATGTTGGCAGAAGCCACCCACCCACATTCATCCTCAGGAGCCATCTGGATCAGTCCATCACTGTGTTGAGCCCCTTCCCTTCCTAACAGAAGCCATTGGCTTTTGCTTATTTTTAAAATCTGATTGTTAGATTTTTTTTTTTCCTGTAGGGTTGTTTGAACGCTTTATATATTCTGGTTATTAATCCTTTGTCAGACAGATAGTTTGCAAATATTTTCTCCCATTCTGTTGGTTGATTCTTTGTTGATTGTTTTATTTGCTGTGCAGAAGCTTTTTTAACTGGATGTGATCCCATATGTCCATTTTTGCTTTGATTGACTGTGCTTTTGGAGTATTACTCGAGAAATCTTTGCCCAGACCAATCGGAGAGTTTTCCCAATGTTTTCCTGTAGTAGTTTCGTAGTTGGAGGTCTTAGATTGAAGTCTTTAATTCATTTTGATTAGATTTTTGTATATGACTAGAGATAGGAGTCTAGTTTCATTCTTCTGCGTATAGCTATACAGTTTTCCCACCACTATTTATTGAAGAGACTGTCTTTTCCCCAGTGTATGTTCGTGGCACTTTTGTTGAAAATGAGTTTACTGTAGATTTATGGATTTCTTTCTGGGTTCTCTATTCTGTTCCATTGGTCTGTGTTTCTGTTTTTATGCTAATACCATGTTGTTTTGTTTACAATAGCTCTGTGGTATAATTTGAAGTTAAGTAATGTGATTCCTCCAGTTTTTTGCTTTTGCTCAGTATGTCTGGTGATTCTGGCTCTTTGAGATTCCATATAAAGTTTAGTATTATTTGATTAATATTGATTCTTCCAATTCCAATTCATGAACGTGGAATATCTTTCCATTTTTTTATATCTTCTCTAATTTCTTATATCAATGTTTTATAATTTTCATTGTAGAGATCTTTTTTGTTTGTTTTTGAGACAGAGTCTTTTTTTTTTTTTTTAAGACGGGGTTTCACCATGTTGGTCAGGCTGGTCTTGAACTCCCGACCTCAGGTGATCTGCCCAAAGTGCTTGGATTACAGGCGTGAGCCACCACGCCCGGCCTGAGACAGAGTCTTGCTCTGTTGCCTAGGCTGGAGTGTACAGTGCCATGGCCACAGCTCACTGCCGCCTTGACTTCCTGGGGTCAAGCAATCCTATCACCTCAGCTTCTCAACTAGCTGGGACCACAGACTTAAGCCACCAAGCCCAGTTAATTTTTTTTTTTTTTGTATTTTTAGTAGAGATGGTGTCTCACTCTGTTGCCCAGGCTGGTCTCGAACTCCTGGACTCAAGCAATCCTCCTGCCTCGGTGTCCCAAAGTTTTGGGATTATAGGCGTGAAGCACTGTGCCTGGCCTTTTAGAGATCTTTTACTTCATTGGTTACCTTAATTTCTAGGTATTTAATTTTATTTGAAACTATTAAAAATTGGATTACTTTTTTGATTTCTTTTTCAAATTGTTCACTGTTGGCATATCAACATACAAAAATCAGTAGCCTGATTTGTATGCTGCAATTTTTCTGAATTTATCAGTTCTAATAGTTTTTTTAGTGGAGTCTTTAGGTTTTTTCCAAATATAAGGTCATATCATCTGCAAACAAGAGTAATTTGGCTTTTTCCTTTCCGATTTCGATGCACTTCATTTCTTTCTCTTGTCTGATTGCTCTAGCTAGGATGTCCAGTACTATGTTGAATAACAGTGGTGAAAATGGGCATCCTTTTTGTGTACCATATCTCAGAGGAAAGGCTTTCAGTTTTTTTCCATTCAGTATGATACTAGCTTTGGGTCTGTCATATATGGCTTTTTGAGCTATGTTCCTTCTATACCTAGTTTTTTCAGGGTTTTTATCATGAAGAGATGTTGACTTTTATCAAATGCTTTTTCAGCATCAATTGAAATGATCATATGGTTTTTGACTCTCATTCTGTTGATATGACGTATCACATTGATTGATTTACATATTTTCAACTATCCTTGCATCCCAGGGATAAATCCTACTTTGTCATGATGGATGATCTTTTTATGAGTTTCACCATTTTGTTAAAATCTCAGTGTGACAGTTTTTAGATGATAGAAAAATAAAAGGAGTGACTTTCAGATGGAGAGCCCTTATTAAAACACAGATGTCTTCTATAAATAGAGTTAGAAAAATACTGTCAGTGAGCTCTTTGTGTATAAATGTTTCTTTTAACTTACCCATGCAGGATCTGAAATGGAAAGCTACTTCTCTTTCATCAGTCAGAAGGTTCATTACAACAGAATCATTGATGCACTGAGAAGAGAGCTGGGTTCCAAATCTCACTCAGTGATCTAGAAGAGGAGAGGCAGCCAGTGTTCTGTCTCCCTCAATTTTTCCAATCAGGGTTCCTGTGGCTCTGCGTGTTTTGACCTGGCCTCTCCATCAAAAACCTTCCCTCTTCTGTCTGGCCACTCTGAAACATTGTTTCTTTGAATTCTAAGATAAGCTGTGATGTCTAACCTGTATTAATAGCTATGATAAACTTCTGGAGCTATTGTCGCCTCAAGGAGTTTTTGGTTGTTGAAGAGTTTAAGTAAGCTGTCATGTTTTCTTTTGGAATTTCCATTTGGTCAAGTATAGCATACTGAAATAATACTCCTGAAGTCCATAGGATAAAATGATTTTTTTTTTACCCGGAAAGATCTTTGTGACTTCATGATTTTTCTACTGTCTCATTCATAATTCCTAAGCAGGAAACACACATATCTCAGTTTAGCTTCTTTGAATCAAACCAAGCCTGATGGTCTTATTTTGCGGCCAATGAGACCACATTTACAGGGTGAAAACAATCTTTTTGCAAGTAAAGCATTATGGTTTATGAAACCTGTGGGGTGTGCATTGAAATGATAAATAATATTTACACATGCACAATAGATTGAGTTCTATAGAGGGCGAATGCTTTTAGAAGTAGACTTTCCGGCTGGGCATGGTGGCTCGCGCCTGTAATCCCAGCACTTTGGGAGGCTGAAGTGGGTGGATCACAAGGTCAGGAGTTCAAGACCAGCCTGGCCAACATGATGAAACACTGTCTCTACTAAAAATACAAAAATTAGCCAGCTGTGGTGGTGCGTGCCTGTAATCTCAGCTACTCGGGAGGCTGAGGCAGGAGAATCACTTGACCTGGGAGGTGGAGGTTGCAGTGAGCTGAGATTGCACCACTGCACTCCAGCCTGGGTGACAGAGTAAGACTCTGTCTCAAAAAAAAAGGAGACTTTCTTCTGTGCAGATGGGTAAGTGCTGTGCCCCATGTTTGTTGTATTTAACTTCAGTGTGTTTAAATGATTATGAGGGGCTTTGGGTAGAGTTACTACAATATTAGTTCTAAAAGGTTCACAGACTTCTTTCTATATTCAACATGAAATGCATTTTTCTTATAGATATATTTTTATGGTACTTGGGGGAGACTTAGAGTATGTGGGAGACTTTGAGTATCTTATAAAGACAGTTCATTAAGTATTATATAAGGCTCATGTATATATCTTCTTTTTGCCCACCTAGAATGCCACAGAAGGGACTTTTTTCTGTTTGGTGTCTTAAGCCTCACCAAGGTCAGCCATGACCAGCCAGCCTAAAAATTTTCCCTCATTTTTTTTTTTTAAGGTATCAAAAACAGACATGATTGGCTGGGCATGGTGACTCACACCTGTAATCCCAGCACTTTCGGAGGCCGAGGCAGGAGGACCACCTGAGGTCAAGAGTTTGAGACCAGCCTGGCCAACATGGTGAAACCCTGTCTCTACAAAAATACAAAATACAAAAATCTGCCGGTTGTGTTGGCACATGCCTGTAATCCCAGCTACTCAGGAGGCTGAGGCAGGAAAATCACTTGAACCCGGAGGCAGAGGGTGTTGCACTCCAGTATGGGCGACACAGTGAGACCCTATCTCAAACAACAACAACAAACCAGTCATGATTTATTTATTTTTTCTTTATTTCTTCTAAAAACAAACAAACAAAAATGGGATACATTTGCAGAACGTTCAGTTTTGTGCCATGGTGGTTTGCTGCGCCTATTGACTCATCCCCTAAGTTCCCTACCTTCACCGCCCAACAGGCTCTGGCGCATGTTGTTCCCCTCTCTGTGTCCATGTGTTCTCAATGTTCAACTCCTGTTTATGAGTGAAAACGTGATGATTTCTTTTCTGTTCCTCTGTTAGTTTGCTGAGGATGATGGCTTCCAGCTTCATTCACGTCCCTGCAAAGGATATGATCTCATTCCTTTTTATGGCTGCATAGTATTTCATAGTGTATATCAGACATGATTTCATGAGATGTTATTAACAGTGTTTTTCTGACCAACTCAATGTGAAATAATATTGGTCTTGAGTAGAATAATTCATCTTAATGGAAGTGATACTTCAATGTAATTCGATGTATTTTTCATCTAAAGTGGCATGAAAATATCTTGGCATATTATGCATTTGGAGATATTGACCTCATATGTAGCTATTGCCTTTGACTCTCTTTTTTTGTTCTATTTAATATTCTAGGTACGACACCGAGCTTCTGGTCAGGTGATGGCTCTTAAGATGAACACGTTGAGTAGTAACCGGGCAAACATGCTGAAAGAAGTACAGCTCATGAATAGACTCTCCCATCCCAACATCCTCAGGTAATGGCTTTTCCTTCCTTCTGATAAGTGAGAAAACTGAAACTTTGGAGGCTCGCTACACTAGCACTAATAGCAAAAAAAGGAGGGATTCAGCATTTATCATGCTGAATCTATCTTGTTGGGGTTTAGCGGTACTCTAGTTTGTTTTCTACCCATTGAGACTTAATTTATTGGTAATTAACTGCATTTAATAAAGAAACTTTCTCTGTCTCTTAAGTTGCTTTACTCTCATTTGAACATTAGTAGTGCTCATTAGAACAGTTGTTTTCTTTTCTTTTTCTTTTTCTTTTTTTTTTGAGACGGAGTCTCACACTGTCACCCAGGCTGTAGTGCAGTGGCACAATCTCGGCTTACTGCAATCTCCACCTTCTGGGTTCAAGCAATTCTCCTGCCTCAGTCTCCTGAGTAGCTGGGACTACAGGCATGTGCCACCATGCCCAGCTAATTTTTTTGTATTTTTAATAGAGATGGGGTTTCACTGTATTGGCCAGGATGGTCTCGATCTCCTGACCTTGTGATCCGCCCACCTTAGCCTCCCAAAGTGTTGGGATTACAGGCATGAGCCACCGTGCCCAGCTGAGAACAGTTGTTTTCTATTGCTGATTGGTAATTTATCAAAGAGGAAAGATTTGTCTTTATGTGGTTATTTAATTTTCCTGATTGCTTTATGAGAAGTTGTAATTAAATCAATAAGTGACAATAAAAGTAAAATTACACCCTCAAGTTATCTATCCTTATTTTTTGAGATAGGGTCTCACTCTATCACCCAGGCTGGAGTACAGTGGCATGATCATGGTTCACTGCAACCTCGACCTCCTGGGCTCTATTGATCTTCCCCCACTCAGACTCTGGTGCAGCTGGAACTACACATGTGCCACCACATCCAGCTAACTTTTGCACGTTTTGTAGAGTCAAAGTTCCACCATGTTGCCCAGGCTGGTCTCAAATGCCTGGGCTCAAGCAATTTGCCCTCCTCGGCCTCCCAAAGTGGAGAATTATTTTTATAAGTTTATATAATTCGCTTTTTAATAATCTGTATCTGAATCTTTCTTGCTTTAATTATTTTGATATTTTAGTCAGGCAAGTATATTTTCTTTTTAAAAAAATTTTTAAAAATTTTTTAAGTTATTTATTTATTTATTTATTTATTTTTGAGGTGGGGTTTCACCATGTTGGCCAGGATGGTCTCGATCTCTTGACCACGTGATCCGCCCGCCTCGGCCTCCCAAAGTGCTGGGACTACAGGCTTGAACCACTGTGCCCGGCCACTTAAAAATTTTTTTATTCGGTTGGGCACGGTGGCTCACGCCTATAATATCAGCACTTTGGGGAGGGCAAAGGATCCACTTTGGGGTGGATCACTTGAGCCCAGGAGTTCAAGTCCAGCCTGGGCAACATGATGAAACCCCGTCTCTACAAAACAGCAACAACAAAAACAACCAAAAAAATTAGCCAGAGGCATGTGCCTGTAGTTTCAGTTACTCTGGAGGCTGAGGTGGGAGGATCTCTTGAGCCCATGAGTTTGCAGCTGCATTGAGCCATGGTCGCAGCACTGCACTCCTGTCTGAATGATAGAATGAGACCCTGTCTTCAAAAAAAATATATTTTATCAAAAAATATTTTTTATGCCATCTTGACTAGAGCCTAGAGCCCATACATACATATATATATATATATATATATATATATATTTTTTTTTTTTTTTTTTTTTAAATAAGACAAAGTCTCACTATGTCACTCAGGCTTCCCTGGGATTACAGGTGTAAGCCACCACACCTGGGCCAAGTATATTTTCAAATGAGACCAAATAAGACAATTTAATTAATTCAATGTATATTTAGTTAGGGTTTATGTGCAGGACGCTTTGGAAAGTTTAAAGTGCTATTTACTTAGGGTTATTTATTGCTAATTTGTATATGTTCTCTAGAGAGAACTCATATGGCTTAAGTATGACTTACATGTTTGGTCAATGGTATTTAATTATGGAATTAAATTACACTGTTTACTTGAAACTTTCAATGTTTATATAGAATTATTGGCTTCCTAGTCTACTACAAAAATATTCAGCTAGTATTTTTATTGCGATGACTTTCTTTCAAATGTGTAAGTCAGATTAACCCTTTTTTTTTTTTGAGATGGAGTTTCGCTCTTGTCACCCAGCATGGAGTGCAATGGTGTGATCTTGGCTCACTGCAATCTCCACCTCCCGGGTTCAAGCCTCCCAAGTAGCTGGGATTACAGGCGCCTGGCACCACACCTGGCTAATGTTTGTATTTTTTTTTAAAGACAGGGCTTCACCATGTCGGCCAGGCTGGTCTCAAACTCTTGACCTCAGATGATCCACCCACCTCGGCCTCTCGAAGTGCTGGGATTACAGGGGTGAGCCACCATGCCTGGCCAGATTAACAATTTTTTGAGCATCTACTATATGCCTGGTGATATATTCAGATATCAGAAAGGTATCAAGGTATATATAAAATGGGGAGTATCTATCTGGTAGCAAGGAATTTATACTTTACTTGCTCTACTTGGGGACTTACATTGATGGAAAGAGAACTAATAAATTAAGACACCACCATTTGATTATAATAAACTCTAAATGCAATAGGAGTTCAAATGAGTGAGGGGTCATATTAACTTTGAAAAGTCAGGGAAGCCTTCTGAGAGGAGGGGGCTTGAACTGGACTTTGAATTTTTTTTTTTTTTTTTTTTTGAGACGGAGTTTCGCTCTTGTTACCCAGGCTGGAGTGCAATGGCGTGATCTCGGCTCACCGCAACCTCCGCCTCCTGGGTTCAGGCAATTCTCCTGCCTCAGCCTCCTGAGTAGCTGGGATTACAGGCACGCACCACCATGCCCAGGTAATTTTTTGTATTTTTAGTAGAGACGGGGTTTCACCATATTGACCAGCATGGTCTCGATCTCTTGACCTCGTGATCCACCCGCCTCGGCCTCCCAAAGTGCTGGGATTACAGGCTTGAGCCACCGCGCCCGGCTGGACTTTGAATTTTTAAAAAAATTACTTTTAATTTTTGTGGTTACATAGTAGGTGTACATACTTATGGATTACATAAGGTATTTTGATGTAGGCATGTAGTGCATAATAATGAACCCTGGATTTTAATAGGATTTTAGAAGATAGGGGAGGAACTCAGAAAGAACAAATAGTGATATAGAAAGCACAGATATAAAAATGCAAAGCTTTTTGAGAAGTCAGTGAATAAAAACTCATTTGGCTAATAATGATAATAACAACCTTTTATTGAAGGCTTGTTGTATACTGTGTATGTTACTTATTTAAAGATTTAATCTTCACACTCACTCTCCATTGAGGCCAAGAGATTATGTAACCCAGGCCAAAGTCTCCTCTAAGGCCTGGGTTCTTTCCACCAGGATTCTCTTAGAAGAACTGAGGATTTGATAGGATAGTATTGGTAGATAATGGTGGAACAGTAGAATTGGGTCAAATTACCCAGAAATGCTTTGCATAAATCCAAAGTTGTAGTTTATGATCTGTGATTGGATTCTGAGCAGGAACTAGAATGATTAAGGTAATTGATGACAAGATGTAGAATGGTTTGTGTTAGGGAGACTGATAGCAAAGAGATCAGTTAGGGGGCCTCTACTATGTTTGAGAGTGAGGTAGATGAGGCTTGATTTGATATTCTGCTTAGGAATTTTTCAGATGATCATATTTTAAGTAATATCATCTAGCTTAAAAAGTCATATTTTAATTTTTTTTATTATTACAGAAGTGATACATGATTGCAATGGAAGCATTTAGAAAATAGAATTAGTAAGAACAACAATACAAAACTAGCTCTCAATCTCAGCATGTAGGGCTAAAACTAGTATTAGCATTTTGGCATCTTTCCTGCTTATTCTACCATTCCTTTTCTCATTCTCTTCACTGTGAACTGAGCTAGGAAATGCATGGCAGGTTGACTTTAAATTCGTTTTATTCCATTACGGCAAAATTTTTAGATATAATTGTAATATAATAAAAGTGGTATAGTATAACCTGAAACTGTAAAACTACTAAAAGAAAATATAATGGAAAAATCTCCATGAGATTGGTCTGGACCATAATTTTTTAGATGTGCACAAGCAACAAAAACAAAAATAGACAAATGGGATTGCATCAAACTAAAAGCTTCTGCGCAGCAAAGGAAACAATAAAGAGGCAACGCTTAGAGTGGAAGAAAATATTTGCAAATCATACATCTAATAAGGGGCTAATATCCAAAATGTATAAGGAACTCAAACACCTCAATAACAAGAAAACCCAATTTTTAAAATGAGCAAAATACCTGAATAGATATTTCTCAGTAGAAGACATAAAGATGCCAACAGATTCATGAAAAAATACTCAACATCCTTAATATTTAGGGATACGAAAATTACAACCACAATGAGATATCACCTCTGGCCAGATGCAGTGGCTCATGCCTAGGTGGGAGGATTGTTTGAGCATAAGACCAGCCTGGACACCATAATGAGACCCTGTCTCTATGAAAATTTTTTTTAAAAATACCATCACTTCATACCTATTTGAATGGCTGTTATCAAAATGATGAAAGATAATTGTTTGCAAGGGAACCCTTGTACACTGTTGGCTGGAGTGTAAATTAGTACAGCCATTATAGAAAACAGTATGAAGTTTCTCAAAAACCTAAGAATAGAACACCTTATGATCCAGCAATCCCACTTCTAGGGATATATCAGAAGGAATTGAAACCAGTATGTCAAAGAGGTATCTGCACTCCCATGTTCATTGCAGCATTATTCACAATAGCCAAGATATGGAATCAACCCAAGTGTCCATCAACCAATGAATTGATAAGATGCGGTGTATATACACAATAGAGTACTATATGGCCTTTAAAAAGAATACAGTACTTGGCTGGGCATGGTGGCTCATGGATGTAATCCTAGCACTTTGGGACACCCAGGAGGGGGCATCACTTGCGCCCAGGATTTTGAGACCAGCCTGGGCAACAAA